CTGTAAATAATTACAAATAAATGTACTTCTTAATAATTATTACAAAAATATCAAAAATTATGAATAGTTACAAACCATATTAAGTAGAACTAATGTGTATCAATTTAATTATGATTATATGAACTTGAAAACTAATTTGAAAGGTACAAAATGGGTTCTAAAAAGAACCACTTAAGCATAAGTGGAAAGTAAGTGAAGAAATTGAAAAGATAAAAAGGAGTTAATGAATACTTGGGTTATATTTGGATGACTAAATCTCATATCTGAACAAGTGTGTGTGTATATATGGAAAATAATTGGTACACCTTCCGGTTCAACACACTTAATAACACACTTTGGTTTAGTCATTAAAAATATAATATAAATATAGTCAATTCAGTCGGTTCCTGTATCATGTGTGCATGATTGTATCATTAAATTTGTCTGTCTTTAATTTCAGATTAAAAAATAATAATTTTTTAATGAGTGTGTTGTATAGTGTGTTGAACCGGAAGGTGTACCAATTACTGTCATATATATATATGTGTGTGTGGAAAAATGCATATTTGTTTTGATTTTGAAAATAAAAATTTTAAATAATATCATTTAATTTAATTAAAATTTAATTTAAAATTCAAAAATTCAACTTATTGAATGTTTATACCTAAATTTAGAAACTCATTATATATTAAAATATAATCGGTCTGTAAATATAAATATCCAACATTTAATATAGTAGATTTTAAAATTTTGGATTGAATTTTTAATTTTCAAAAACATGTATCAATATTTTAATTAAATAAAATGATATCATTTAAAGTTTAAAATTTTTTTTTTTAAAGTCAGAATTGATAAATGCGATCCTTATATCTATATATATATATGTGTGTGTGTTGTGTTAGTTCCTGAATATATGCCTATAAAATTATATATGTACTGGGGCGTACGTAATTTTGGCCTTTGCTCAATTTTTTTGATTTTGGTTAATGACAGAAGATAGATAGTTTCCTTTCTTTTCTGTCGTTTACTTCCATGCCCCGATTCCCTGCTTGACTCAGGCCTTGCCGTGTGTGATTCTGCTCTGGTTTCCTTGATTGACTCATGCCTTGATTATTCTTCAGATTAAGAGCAACCTTAGTATAACATATTATATAGTATATTTATTAAAAATTTATTATTTTTAAATTTAAAATTAAAAATAAATAAACTTAAAAATACAGTCATATATATAAGATATATGAATTGACTAAATTAACCATATTTATATTATATTTTAATGATTAAATTGAATAGATATCGAAATGTGTATCCAATTAAAAAAAATAGTAATTATTTTCCAAAGCAATTAAAAATACTAGATAGTTTTCGCCAGTGTATCTATCTTTACTACTAACCACAGTTGTTGCTAACAAAACAAGCAAATTACAAAACATTGTAACCTTCGTTTTTTTTTTTTTTTCTTAGATTTTATTGTTTGTTTATAAAAGGATTGCAGTGCCTTTTTTTTCTTTTTAAGCGGTTCAAAACAAAAAATTCAGAAAATGTAGTTTTAATACTTCCTCTTAAAAAATGGAAGTTGTGTATTAACTTCTAATTCCATGATCACGAGGTAAAGTCTTGGTCCTTTCATTAAATCAACTTCATGGCAAATCAACTCCAGTCATATTATTAAATTTCCTTGAACGAAGTGGCATCAACAACATGGTAGAAAGTTTGCCCCTTTACAAATCGGCTGAAATGTTGACTAAACCCTTGAACTTATTGGTCATGTTTGGTTGGTGATAACAATTATTTTTTTAGTCAAATTATAAAAACAAACTAAATTTTAGAAACTCTTTTAAGAAATTAAGAATAACTAAACCTTAATGTTATAATTTTTTTTATTAAACTGAGGGAGTATGTAAAATATATATTCTTTCTATTTTCAAAAAATAAGCATTCCCTGATTATTCACTAACGTAAAAGAAAAATTAGAAATTAGAAATTAAAAATTAACTATTATTAACATTTAATAAAAAATTTTAAATTTTAATTTATTTTTATAATTTGATTAAGAAATAACAACTCCAGTATCCAAAAAACACCTACGGTACTGACATATTAGGTCATAAAAAGATAACATGTGAACCTCTTTAAATGACATTCAAAAC